AATAGGTTTGGCTGTCAGCGCAACTGGGTAGAAGAGGAAGCAGAGGAAAAGGACGATGGAGGAAAAGACGAACGCGTGTTGGGACTTTGACCTCCTCGACCAATGCAGTGCGGGGCAGCTGCAAGTCTCGTTAGCAGTGAAGAAGACATGTTTGACTCTACTATGGTGCATCGAATTCAACTGATAAAAAAACCACCCACTTTTTATGTGCTCCTGAAATTGAACAAATTATTATGGCATCTCTTGCCAACCCTGATGCTATCTTCACATCATCATCAGACCAGTGCCACGTATGTACCTGTGTTGACTTCAATTCTATGGCCAAGTGAAGGAAAAGCAAAATAACACTTGTTGATATGATCTGGATGGGGTTCCCCGCATACACAAGGCAAAAAAAGCCTCAAGCAAGAATTGTGAATTATTTTGGAAGAGGGATGACAAATTCAGTGAATTGTGGGTTGTGGATTTATTTGAGCAGAAATTTGGTGTGCACTGCACTAAGTGTGATTGGCGCGCTTTCGCCACAGACAGTACATGGATTAGTGTCAGTTTGATTGACAATTTAGCTGTGAGGGTGAGTTGACGCCATCTCCTTCTCTAACGCGCCTCTTGCATGTGATGGGAAAGGAACAAATGCAGAATACCTGCCCGCTTCAATTGGATTGCATCGGTGATATCGTGCTTTAAACAGCTAGCTTAATCCTGCTGTCTACTTCTGGTGGTAATTGAATGTTCCACCGCTTCCGGAATTGAATGTTCGATGCTGTACTTGCAACCAAATAAGGTTTCGGAGCCCTCTCATGCACTTCTTGTATACATTACTGACCAGCATCTCTCTTGCACATTTCGCAAGTGCTGTCTTTGACTTTTTTACTCTAGCATTAAATACAAGAGATGTTTAATTGAAACGAAGACTTTTGATTTGTCATCTGCGGAGGAGCAGCGGTGTTGTCCCTTTCTCTCACTGGCATAAACTGTGGGTTGAGGGTGCTGGGCAGTGGGTGCATTATCAACGACATGAACCATCATGGGGAGAAACAACAAATGGTTTTGCCTCTAAGAGTTACACGGCAACTCTACCTTGCCTCACTGCAAGCAGTCATGGTCAAAATGGAAATGAAGGGGCAGGAGGTAGTGATGGGAAGTAATGTGGCCAGGGTGATTCATTCTGCACTGGAAGATGCAAACTGATTATAAGGCATTAGAAATGCAAGGAAGGCGCAAATCTGAATTCCACCAGCCACTGCTCGTTGTCAGATTTTTTCCCACTTAAGCCAATTGAAGTACATGCAGCAGTTGTTGTTTGACCACATGCACAATCTTCCAGCGGTGTAGAGGCAGCTCGTGTTGAAGAGGCCGGCTTCGGAGGAGGAGTGCTTGCTCATACGATGTCTCACGCCTTGCCTCCTGAAGGACGCTGCAATATGAGGCCAAATGACTGGTTTTAGGGGGAAAACCGCTAACGATTATTAGTGAGTGGAGTCCGCAAATGCAACACACGAATAGTCGAATGCAGCCTTACCCTGCTGGCTTTCTGGTGTGAGGCAATTATTGCTAGGACGACATGGTCCTCTGGACCAACAATGCCTGTTTTCATCTTCTTCTTAAATTGGGTTTGCTAAAGGGTCAAATTTAGTGAGTCGGCATCGTCTGAGTCCGGCTACTTGTCTAAATGTTTGTCTATATCAGCCTCCGCGTTGAAGCTGCGGCTAAAATCATGCTGCTTACCTTTCGAGGATCGTATGCTCTAGAAGTAAGCTACGCTAGTTCCCACCTCTAATGTTCTTCAAAAATGGTTCAGTCGATAGTGCAGAGAACAGGTGGAATTCAGGTGTTAACAGTTTTGTTCCGATAGCCCACCTCGAACGCCAGTGTATCGTAGCCTCAATCACGGGGAGGACAAGAACCAAACTGTAGAAGTTGTTGAAGCACTCGGAGGCACGTGGACAGAACTGAGACCTGTGTTGTTTCCAAACCAGTAGGTACTGCTGACAGCACACCGGAATGAACGGATTTGATTGCGTATCCTCCAAGTCATTATTGCATCTGTTTGTTTGAAATAAGAGTGCCGTTTTGTCCATAAAGTTGAAAATGGAAATAATTGCCTTATGCTCTAGGAGCATGTCTTGCATTAACTCCAAGTACTGCTTGAATGTGACACTCAATTCGCATGGCTTGGTGACGCTTTTGATCTCCATCCATGTGCTCAGTTGTGCAGAGACTGTTAGCTTCGAAAAGTCTAACACGTGTGACCTGAATGCAGGAATGAGTTACCACAACCTGCCTTTTGTACATGGTGGGACTGTGGCTAACTACAACCTGCAGTTATTTAGCAACAACTACTTTCCGTATCCCCATGACTGCAATATGCACATCAAAGACGAGAACTGGTCCTCTCCTATCTACTTGAGGCCTTGTTCACCGAGTGAGCCTCGTCACATGGTGGACCAGCGAAGGTCAAGTAGGCTACATCGCATCACTCGCGAACCTCAACTCGGCAAGGCCTCCTCACTCGGGTAAAAGCCAATTCATTTTAGAAAGGGGCGTCCCTGGTAATCATTCTCCAAAATTTGTGTGCAAGACATGCACCTCTTTCTTGCTACATTTATTCGCCAAAAGTCCCTTCCACTGCAGGTTTATTTTGTTTGACATCTGAGCCAGGCTATGATGGGGCGCCCTATTTCTTCAAATTGCCCATTTCATGCTTCTGTCCACAAATCTGGTGGAGCATTTGTCCCTTTTCATGCCTTCCACATCTAGCTTAAGTGTTGAATCAGGTTTCTGCCAATGTGTCTTTGGCATGTTGCATCCCCAAGAAGCATCTTTGCCCCCTTCAGCCAAGGCCAGTCAACTGTGCCACAATTCAGCGGCAGTGCAGCCTGAAGGAGGTGAAGTGTCCGCGTAATGAAATACGCAGCTGAAGAAACTGTTCAATCGCTACATCTGATGACAAAGGAAATCGGATACAAAGCAGCTGCAGTTGGAAAAGGTGTATTTCATTCTGTGACATCCGCCTTTCGTATTGCAAACGGAGTCCCATCGAAATTGGATGTCATACTTGTGCGTCTCCCAAAATCCTTGCTCTTACTGGTCGTGAAGGCGAATCTGCATCAATATTTCCAGTAGGACCACTTGAACAATCCGAAGTGTGAAAAACAAATCGGAGAGCCAAAAAACGGCAGGAGCTGTTACGATTAGAGGCGTCACATTAATAGCAATGTCCAACTAACATGGCGAGAAAATAGTCACTTCACATGCTGAAGAAATGCATGAAATGATGGCTTCTCAGCAGAGATCATATTGCCTCTTGATAAATGATTTTGGATGAGTGGGTGCTAATGCAATGGATTCACTTGAGTTCACCTTCATCATTCACTTTGTTTCAAGCTTTGGAAAAAAGTAGGAAAATCAAGGCTGGTTTTTATTCTTCTGCTATGCATTAGGCCGTAAGTCCACAAAAGCAGTCGCCAGAGCAGATTTGATATGCCGGGTTTGCTAGACCAGGCTCACAAAAATTTAAGTCAGTCAGTGGATGGAAGCAGTCAACATAGCGGGTTGGAATGCGTTGCCTGTCATGAGTGAGCCAATGGTAGCTGCTATTGCCAACCATTTGGTCAAATAGAGTTGACGATCGTCGCAGCTGGGGAGAAGAGGAAGCAGAGGAGAAAGAAAATGAAGAAAAAGACGAATGCGTGGCGGGACTTTGACCTCCTTGGCTAATGCAATGAGGGGCGGCTGCGCATCTTGTTTGCAGTGAAGACGACGAGTTAGGCTCTACTAGGGTGCACTGCATCGGAATATTGAAAAACCGTCAACCGTTCACTTTCATATACTTCCAAAATCGGACAAATTATTGAGCCATCTCTCGCCAACCCAATGATACCTTCACGTCATTATCAGACCAATGCCATGTACATCCGTGTGTTGGCAACAAAATCAGTGTTTGCGTGCTGCAGGCGATCACTTCACTTCAATGGCCAAGTGTAGGAAAAGCGAAACAACACTCGTTGACATGAGCTGGATGGGGTTCCCCACATACACAAGGCCAAACTCTCTTCAAGCAAGTACTGTGGATTATTTTGCAAGAAGAATGACAAGTTTGATTGTGGATTGTGGAGGCATATGAGCAGAAATTTGGTGTGTGCTGCACAAAATGTGACTGGAGTGCTTTCGCCACAGACAGCACATGGATTAGTGTCAGTTTGATTGGCAATTCAGCTGTGAGGGTGAATCGACGCCATCTCTTTCTCTAACACGCCTCTTGCGTGTGATGGGAAAAGTGGCAAATGAAGAATACCTGCCTACTTCGAGTAGTATTTCACTGTTTCGGAGCGTCTGGATTTGAGTAGGTATTCGGTGCTGCTCTGGCAACCAAATAGGTTTAGATGTGCTTCTTTGACTTCTTACTGTAACATTGAATGCAAGGGTGGTATAAATAAATCAAATCAAGGGTTTTGATTGTTCACCCGTGAAGAAATGGTGCTTATTCCGCTCTCGCACTAGCACAAACTCTGGGCTGAAAGTGCTGTGCAATGGGTGCATGATATCTCACACATTTTAGCTCGACATTGTTTTCGACGAGATGAACCAGTGGTTGTGACAAGACACACACTTCACTCACGACTTTCACCACGTGGAGCAACTGTTTTCTACCCTGACAATGCAAGGACACCATAGGTGGGTGGTGTGAGCCTCTGCCAAATTCTGTTGCCACACTCAGTGCTTTCGTTTAAAATTGTTGGCTGACACAAAATTGCACTCGAATGCCTTTTGTGGTCATCATTTTCCATGCTCCTCTGCGCTGCGCATCTGCACGAATACAAAGCAGCGGGGGAAGCGATAATATGGACAATGGCATTGCGTGAGTCTGCGTGGCTATGTGGACAGACGTCGCACACTTGTGGCCTGTGTAGCATTGGCCGATTTTGAGTGGCATGTGGAAAGGCTGGAAGAACACATAAAACCTCTCAAAAGTACAGTAAGTATAGCTGTAAGTGGTAAAGCCTAGTATTACATCAAACCACGCCACATTTGTGGTTTGGCGTGAGGATATTCTAATAAAGATGCTGGTTTGTTGACTGTCTTATTGAATTTGCTCAGAAGTAACACTTCTGCCTCACTTACCATTCCAGAGTCATTAGGCCATTTCAATTTGGTTTTGTGGCGAAATGTGCTTCTGTGATAGGTAAAATTTACTGGCTCGACGATGGAAAGTGTGTGGAGTGGCCAAAGTCCCTTAAGATCAACAAGTTAAACTTTATCAGTTAGAGTGGAAAGTTGGGGCATGCAGACCTCAGTGCGGACGGCTTTTCGAAGGCACATGCGGATGTGCAAGCATGGGATGTTCGACAATGTATACGTGATAACTTCATGGGCAAGAGCGATACAAGAGTGGCTCCGTTCTCCCATTAATTGTTTCGTTCAAGGTAGTTTTGAGCCTACCGTGACTATGCGTGCCGACAGAATTTGGTCATTAGAAACAGTTGACAAAGAGCTGAAATGAGAAATGTTCTCGAGGACCTAATGATTAAAGTGGCGACGAGTCCCAGGACAGGCATTAGAGTGCGATGCTACCTAGCAGAAATAAGTAGAATCGTTCACGACTGCACACAAAGGCGGATGTTGAATCCTACGTGTTTGGCGCTCCTCCGGTGTGGTCAAATGGACTACTTCCTGTGGATGGTAAGGCTAATCTTCAATTCACTGTGCTGCAGTCCGTCGAGGACACATTATGTAGGCAAGCTACTTCAATGTAACTACAACGTTATCTTTTGTACAACCAACTGAATAGGCTGCAGCACTGAGCCGTGCAGCAGCTTATTCCCCCTCTCCCTTCACCCACGCTGCAGTACTCGGACTGCAACAGATTACTCCACAAATCCCAAATTTATGGATGTCTTGTGAGCTTCGCACATCAAAAATTGAGAAGCATGCCACAGGTCCCGTTGTATGCTCAACAGGAATAAAGTGATGCTGGTCTGTTGTCTGCTGCCTGTCGTCTGTTGTATCTCCGTAGACACAAAGTCATGAAAAAGGAAAGTAAAATGACTACTTGAACATGAATCCACATCTCAAGTTAGGATTTGCCTCACTCACACGAACTGTGAGTCACAGCACACACGACCCTGTTGGCTTGAAGTGCGAAAATGCGGAGACCAAATGGAGATGTGACGAAAGGATTGGGTGTCAAA